TTAGTGACTTTTCATGACTGAGTGGTTATTTTTAGGGATGAGAAAGCTCAGTTGTTGTTTGATTTGTTAAATAACATGTCAAACAAATAATGTTTTGGGTGTTTATACTTTTCATAGAAAGATTTTTAAGTGCTATTTTCTAGTTAGTAAATTGAAATGTTGCTATATATATACTCCATAAAGGAAAACTTTTCATAACAAGCATATATCTAGATTTTCCAAATACGATTACATACATAATATGTAACTTAACGATGACTACTTACTATCCTCTATCTCATTTTCTTAGACCCAAATCATTTTTTTTTGTATTTTTTGTATTGTAATAATCTTGCAACCTTTTTGTTCAGGTATATAGATAAGAAAAACCTCCTCATCTCTCTTTCGCCACTGTCTTATGATTACTAATTCCCACATCTTAAACTAAATAACTTGTAATCTACTTTATCCACTCATGCATACAATCTATCACTTAGTTCCTTGGGTCACTTTTCTTTTCCTTAGTTTCCTCATCTGCAAAATGGGAATAACTACAGTAGCAAACTTTTGTAAAAATTAAATGAGAAAATATATGTAAAGAACTTAACACAGTGTCTTAGAACAAATATATTCAGCAAATGCCAGTTGTTATTAAAATTAAAATGCTTGACCCTGAAATTTCACCAAATATGTGAGGAAAAGTCATACATGAGCTCTAGAAGGCATGGTCAGGCTGTTCACTGCAGCACTGGTGGGTAATAACAAAATATTGGAAATGAACTAACATTAGAACAAGGAAACCATGGTAAATTCATTCTATGAAATACTACACAGCACATGTATAAACAGAAATAGTTCTATCTGTATGTGCTAACCTGTAACTCCAAAAACTGTTAAGCTCTTTTTAAGAAAGGAAAACTGAAAAACAACATGTATAAGATAGAATTTGCTTTTAAAAACAAAGCAGAGGAGGAGCCAAGATGGCAGAACAGCATGGAAATTTTTTCTGCATCTCGCGTCCATGATATACAGCAAGATCAACACTAAACTATCCTCCAAACCTAAAAAACTGATATGAGGATTAACACAACAATCTGCACAACCTGAACCACAGAACTCAGCAGGTACACAGCATGGAGAGGTAAACTGGGGAAGAGAGAAGCTGCAGAGGGCAGGGATGAGTTTTTGCTTGCAGAGAGAGGACAGAGATGGGAGGAGAGTATGGAAAAAGCACCCCCCGCCAAAAGCAGCTGGAGAGAAAGTGGAAACATGGAAACAGCCTCAGGGATTGAACTATAAAGGGTGAAAGAGGAGGGTTTAAATTGCATTAAGACTCTATAAACAGGGGGAGCACAGAGTCTGAAACTCCACAGCTCAATACCTGGTGGTGCTCTGGTGGGAAAGGCAAATCTCCAGGAGCAGAGTGGACTGCAGGAGATCCTCAGGTCACACAGGGGGAAGTGGTTCCACTACTCGAAGGACATTTGGTAGAGGCTGTGCAGCCACCCAGTCCCAGCAGACCCCAGGGAATGACCACATTCACTGGTGCTAGAACAAGGTCGTTAAGGGTGAAGCCTGGTGCCAGACATGTGTTGTGATTTTCCACAATCCCTAAAATGCTGCTGCTACACGACTGCGTGAACTTTTTCTGGGGCGGATTGGCACCCAGCAGCAGTCAATGGGCATCAGCAGCAGCATGGACCTGCGAACATTCCTGGATGTGGCTGACACCCGGCCATTTCTCAGTGAGACCCTCTCCCAGAGGATCTGAGAGGGTCAAAGCTGCAGTCTCTCAGAAGTGAGGGGTCGGGGAACAGAGCCACATCTGAGATAAAACTCAGGAGGGAGGTGCCTCCTGGCAACCTGATGGCTTGGACACAGACAGTGTAAAAGCAGGAAGTGGACAGAAGCCGGGGACAAAAGACAGGTGCACAATTACTGGTCGGGGAGAGCACATAGTTCTGATACTAGAGACTGGGTAGCTGGGTGACACCATTTTCACCCCTCCTGCGCATGTGCATACACACCTACAAGCGCCGCAACAATCCACCACCAGTAAGCTAAGTGGTGCCATCTAGTGGAGAACGGAGCCATTACACTAAGCCCAGACCAACTGGGCCAACCTCGCTTTTTAGGATCACCACAAATCTCTCCGCCTGCTTAGTTTATGGACTATAAAGTACTTCATACTTTGACTTCTAGGAGAAAACATGTAATTTCAATCGTATTTCAGTCTGTTTGCTGCTCCATCTATTCAATTGTCTTTTTTTCTTTCTTTTTCATTTCTTTTCTTTTTCTTGAATACAGAAAGAGAAAAAATTTTTATTTTCAATTTTTATTAAAATATTATTTTTTCTACTATATTTTTTACTTTTTTGTAAATTTTTCAAATTCTATTTTACTTCCATCATTTCATTTTGTTCTATTTCACTGTATTCATTTTCTCAAATTTTCAAACGTTTTCCTTTTTTTGTTTTTCTTTTTTTAATTTTTTTTACTTTTTATCTTTTTCCCCCTTTTTCTATAATCTATCAAACTCCTTTCAATTACCAGACAAGACACACCAGTATCTAGCATCATTTATTTGATTTGTGTGTTTATGTTGCTTTTAATGTTTCCATTTTATTTTTTTTTTACCTTATTAATTCATTTTGTTCCTTCAAAATGACGAAACAAAGGCATTTGCCCCAAAAGAGCAGGAAGAAACAACAGCCAAGGACTTAATCAACAGAGATACAAGCAAGATGTCTCAAGCAGAATTCAGAATCACGATACTAAGAATACTAGCTGGGGTCAAAAATAGATTATAATCCCTTTCTGTGGAGATAAGAGAAGTAAAAGCTAGTCAGAATAAAATAAAAATGTTATAATTGAGCTGCAATCTCAAATGGATTCCACGGCAGCAATGATGGATGAGGCAGAGCAGTGAATCAGTGATATAGAGGACAAATGTATGGAGAATAATGAAGCAGAAAAAAAGAGGGAGACTAAGGTAAAAGAGCACAATTTAAGAATTAGATAAATCAGTGACTCACTAAAAAGGAACAATGTCAGAATCACAGGGGGTCCCAGAAGATGAAGAGAGAGAAAAAGGAGTAGAGGGTTAGGTGAGCAAATCATAGCAGAAGATTATTCTAACCTGGGGAAAGACACAGACATCAAAATCCAGGAAGCACAGAGGACCCCCGTAAGATTCAACAAAACCAACCATCAACAAGGCATATCATAGTCAAATTCACAAAATACTCAGGCAAGGAAAGAATCATGAAAGCAGCAAGGGAAAAAAAGTCCTTAATCTACAAGGGAAGACAGATCAGGTTTGCAGCAGACCTATCCACAGACACTTGGCAGGCCAGAAAGGAGTGGCAGGATATCTTCAATGTGCTGAATTGGAAAAATATGCAGTCAAGAATTCTTTATCCAGCAAGGCTGTCATTCAAAATAGAAGGAGAGATTAAAAGTTTCCCAGACAAACAAAAATTAAAGGAGTTCGTGACCACTAAACCAGCCGTGCAAGAAATTTTAAGGGGGACTCTCTGAGGAGAGAAAAGACAGAAAAAAAAATACCAAAAGCAACGAAGACTAGAAAGGACCAGAGAACACCACCAGAAACTCCCAACTCTACAAGAAACATAATGGCAATAAATTCATATTTTTCAATATTCACTCGAAACATCAATGGACTAAATGCTCCAATCAAAAGACATAGGGTAATGGAATGGATAAGAAAACAAGATCTATCTATATGCTGTTTACTAGAGACCCACTTTAGACCTAAAGATACCTTCAGATTGAAAATAAGGGGATGGAGAACCATCTATCGTGCTAATGTCGCCAAAAGAAA